CCCACACTCATCAGCAAAAGTTGTCCCAGTTGCCAGTGGACTGTGAATGCCCAGACTTTCAAATGTTTGTAGTCAATGATGTGTTTTTAAAACACAAATGATACGACTGCATCCTAAGTCGCATCTATTAAAAAGCTAAATAAAAATGTAGACAATTATTTTAAAGGCAGAGCCTTTCTGGAATGGCCTCACCTTTCTTGATTAAACTGAAATCATACTTTCTTCCCTGGGTGTAAGAATATTCAATAAAATAATAGGCATATGAGAAGTAAAATAAAATTATACTTATTTAATTAAGCTGCAACTTATTTAATTAAAATTAACTCAATCCTTAATTAAACAAATGGCCACAAAATAGGGCAGGGGTGGCCAACCTGTGGTTCCAGAGCCACATGCAGCTCTTCAGAAGTTAACATGCGGCTCTTTATATAGGAATCAAATCCGAGGCTGGAGCTACAGTTGCCAACTTTCCACTGGGCCAGAGGGTGCTCACTGTTCAACCCCCAGCTCTGCCCTAAGACCTTTCCCCTAGGATCCTGCCACTTCCTACCCTCTTCACTGAGCCTGTCACACCCATGCTTTCCCCTCAAGTATCTCCCACTGAGAAAGAGCTGATCTCAGTGGGCAGGAGGAAAAGGAGAAGGAGGCACCAACCGGCGGGACTGCCAGTAGGTAGGATGTGCTGAGAGTGGTGGTGGTGGGGAGATCATCAGGGCTGGTGACATAGAACTGTTGCTCTTTGGCAATGTGCATTAGTAAATTCTGGCTCCTTCTCAGGTTTAGGCTTAAATTGGGGCATTTATCCTATTATTTTAAAGTTAGCATTTTTCCCCCTAAAAAGAAAGTTATCCTGTGCATTCATTTGGCTAGCAGTTCTCGTAATTAGTTTTAAATTTAACATTTTGGAGTTTTTTTTTCTGTTAAGTTACTCAACATATTCAGTAAATTACATAAAACCAAAGGTTCAGAAAGCACAGCAAGTCCAGGCAAAACAAAAACACCATTCAACCTGCAATATCTGCTGATGTGCAGTGTTTGCTGCTATCAAAGCACTTCTGTCACAATACCAAAAAGGTTAGGCAAATAATGAGACAGTTAATAAATGGGGGTGTGACGTAGTGGGGGTGCTGTCTGCTCTGTAACCCGGGGTTCCCCTGTGCTGATGTGTGATTCCCACTGACTCACCCACATGTGTATTGGCCCAGATACCTAGTCCCAGATGATAAATCTCTTCCCAAAGGGAGAGACAAAAGAAGGGAGGCGGAGACAGCCACTTGGCTGGGGGGCAGCGTCTGGGAACAAGGCAGTTTCTGGCTGGGAAACATGAAGGGAACAGACTAAGCTGTGTACTGAGGGGGCAATGGACCCCCTAACCCAAGGGGTCTCAGGGATTCTGGCCCTGACTCCTGTAACCACATCACGTTTATGCTGTGCTGTATCCTGGAGAAGCAATAAACCCTCTCTATTCTACTGGCTGGCAGAGTCTGTTCTGGCTGCTACGAGGATGCAGGATCGGGGGGAACCCTGATGTACCATCACAGGGTAACTGATATTTTACCTGATCTTAAATAAATAACTTTAAAAGTGATCAATTGTTTATTATATATTAGAGGTGTAAAATCTAGGGATGTAAGCAAGTAGTCGACTATCTGATAAGCTTAGGCAGAGGCAGCAAGGGGTGGGGGAGGAAGAGCAGGTCCTGGGGGCAGCTGGGTTAAAATCTGCTTGCTCCTGGTCCCAGACCACTGCAGCTCTGCTTTTTAAATATAGTAAGAGCCACCAGGCTCTTACTACTTTTAAAAAACAGACCTGCAGCAAATCATCTTATTGACTACTTGAGTAGTTGATGGAATTTCCATCGATTACTCAATTAGCTTCCTAACTGCTATTTAACTTCCCTAGTAAAATCCCATTTAATCAGTTAACTAGTTATGTTTAACCAATTAATTGCTTAAACAGAAGCAGGGGGAGGGCCGTTCCAGCCTTTCTGGGTTGGAGTGGTCCCCACCCATAGCACACTGCTCCAGCCAGCCCAGACCCATCACAGGCAAGGGCTGCTCCAGTAAGGCTGAAACATACCTCACCCCTCCCACTGCTGGGCTAGAACGGCATCATGCCTGCATCAGGCAAGGGGTCCTTCAGCCTTTGCTGGTTAACTATTCACATCCCACATATAATGAGTGCGTGTGTGTTGTCCTTCTCCCACCACATTTCACATGCAATTTGCCTTTTTAGGCTCAATATGTTTAATTGTACACCAGAGTAGTCCTACTGACAAAGGCATAAAGTTAAGCACCACATAAATGTATGCAGGATTGGTGTATTGGATTATAAAATTTTCAGGATAGGAACGGATATAAATGACAGTTGCTTTAGAAAAATTAAACTTTAAACTAACTAGAACACCCTAAAATTGCTAGTATCCAAAAGAATGAATAACAACCAGATCTCCTAAAAATGCCTTGAGAGGCAATTCATACCAACATGAGAAAGAGTGGTTAGAAAATGTACACAAAATAAAGAATCACAGCACTTACAGCTACTGTGATCACAAAGTCACATTGCATTGGAAGCAGCTTAGTTCTATTCTGGCAGTTCTATACCATTGAAGGAAAAAGCCTTACAGCAGGAGTATTCATTGGTGGGTGGGGCTGCCCTTTATGTTGCTCTGTCAATGTGAAAGGATTGCTGAATACAGCAGAATTTAGCTCACCAAATTTAGAAGTGAAAGTCTCATTCAGTCATCTGGTCATTCCTCTGCCACTGCAGGACCATTCCGTACTTATGTATGAGATTATCAGATTAATAACATTTACAATAACTAGCTTGTAGAGCTAATACAATTTAGACTAGTACAAATATTAAAAATCTAACATTAGTATTGTTAGTTTTCTCCCCTCGACACGCCATTCTCTTGAAGTCACAAAACTTGCATCCAGTCAATTTCACCTTTTGATGCTTACACATTAGCATGATTCCATATTAGTGTTGCAAACACTGCATTACTTTCATAGCATATTAAAAATACAGAACATACGGCCTGATAATAAAACTTATTGGTTTGTATTTAAAAACGAAACAAATCTGAACATGGAACTAAAATTGTCTTAGGTTTGGTCTACATCACAGACTCGTGTCAGTATAACTACATCACTGGAGGATGTGCAAAATCCACACTCGTAGAGCCCTGCAAATTTGCAGATATCCGCTTTGTATCAGCAGATACCTGCAGATACAGATATCTGTGTACCATGTTGATGGATAACGGATAGATGTGGATTCCATTTTTATATCTAGAGCCCTGCAAATCTATGGACAGCCACTTCATATCTGCATCCGTGAATGCGGATATCAACAGACCGGCTACGTCTACACTGGTCCCTTTTCCGAAAGGGGCATGCTAATTTTCAACTTCAGAATAGGGAAATCCGCGGGGGATTTAAATATCCCCCGCGGGATTTAAATAAAGATGTCCGCCGCTTTTTTCCGGCTTGGGGAAAAGCCGGAAAAAAGCGTCTAGACTGGCCCGATCCTCCGGAATAAAGCCCTATTCCGGAGGATCTCTTATTCCTACTTCAAAGGGCTTATCAGTTAATTCTAATGACTACATGCACATACACACCCTTGCTGCCTCTGTGTCGGGAAGAGGGGGAATACAGGTGTTGGTGCCCATAGGGAGCTGGCTCCTTATGCACTCTGGTTCCCATGGAGCTGCCTACCCTCTCCCACAGAGGCAGTAGCATGGGGAGCAGGTGGGAATTCCCCATGAGTACCAGATCCCATGGCGCTACCTGTCCCACCACTGACGCCTCTGATAGAGAGGCAGCAGCATGGAGGGTGAGAAGGCAGGTGGGAGCTGGTACACATGGGAGCTGTTTTCTCCCTATTGCTGCCTCCCACAGAGGCAGGGGGGAGAAGCAGGAGCTGATACGCATGAGGAGCCAGCTTTTCAGCCAGCTCTCCATACGTGACCCCCCACGGATCTGTCTGCTTCTGCTTTGCTACCTGCCAGCGGCAGCAAGGAGAGGAAGGGAGGGAGAGAGAGAGAGAGCGCGTGCGTACGCACAGGTTGGCAGGCAAGAGCTGGTGCTCAGGAAAGTATCTTTTAAAATGAGATCTACCATTTCTCTTCAAAAACTATTTCAGTCTAACAGATCACCTCACTGTTGTTAGTAAGTTGTTCCTGATGAACCACATTTTCTTAATTCTACCCTAATGTCATTAGTTATATTTTTGGTGGAACAAAAAGAAAATTCATCTGTCTCCTTACAATTTACACACTTAATTTTCTTGTACATGTTTACATCTTTCACACTCATTTGGGTATTTAAATTGAGCTGTGCATATTTATAGATTTGCTCATTTTGCTTTGTAAGTCAAAGGTTAACCGTCAGAGAATTTTTTTCTTCACTCATTTTCCTTCTACAGATTGAACCTCTCTAGTCCTTTATACTCTGGTCTGGCAACATCTGTGGTCCAGCATGATTTTAGTTACCCATGATAAGTGAACATCTGGCTGTGGCCAAGTTTCCCACAGTCCCCAAAAGTTTGTTTACAGTCACGAGTCCTGGCTCTTAGTGTTCTGTGCTGTTATTTACCTCTAAATGTATTCTAAGAGCCCAGTAAGCAGTAGAAGGGTTGGTAATGCTGCTAGACAATACTGACCTCCTGTGGGTCAGCAAATTCTCTGGTTCAGCACTGGTCAGGTCCTGAGGTTGCTGGACAAAAGAGGTTCAACCTGTATTACTTCTAGTTTTTTCCCCCTTCATTTTAAAGGTCTCTCTACTCCTGCCACTTTCATAGTGACACTTCAAATATTTGTAGACAGTTACATCACCCAAGCTATGCAAAGTTTGTATTTTAGTCTTCTCACATCCTGACAGTTTTGTGGCTAGGCTCAAATTTGTCAGGGATGTTCCTGACGCGAAGGTACTAAAATTCAGTCAGTTATGCCCCAGTGTAGGCATCAACTCTGCTACCACATCACAGTGGGAACCTACCTAGCCGCCTAGGCAGCATCACAGCTGTTTTTCAACACGTGCATCTGCATAACGCCTTGGGCTCTTCCCCTGTACCTGTAGCGAGGCCTACGCCGTGTACAGGTCTTGGCCCAGGGTGGGTCCGGGGACACACACAAGCCATCACTTGGTCAGGCTTGAGCCCCAAGGCGATTACCTGCGAAAGGGGCAGGCACGTTTCTGGCCGGCATCGCCCGTAACTGCCCCGGCCTGGACGGGAATGGCCGGCTCAGAACACCGCTCGGCGGGCCCGTGCGGCGCCCCGGGCTGGGCAGGGGGTGGCAGCTCTGCAGCAGGGAGGGTCCGGGGACACACACAAGCCATCACTTGGTCAGGCTTGAGCCCCAAGGCGATTACCTGCGAAAGGGGCAGGCACGTTTCTGGCCGGCATCGCCCGTAACTGCCCCGGCCTGGACGGGAATGGCCGGCTCAGAACACCGCTCGGCGGGCCCGTGCGGCGCCCCGGGCTGGGCAGGGGGTGGCAGCTCTGCAGCAGGGA